TGTACGCCTCTCTTAACCACGACGGAAAAGAAAATATTTACATGGCTGCAGGACAAAAACTATTAGAATTTCCCAGAAATGATATAAGCATGAAAAGTATAGTATCTGCTGGTCGATTCTATGAATTGGCAAAATGTGTTGCTTGGAGTGGAACAGGTGGTCAGTCAGATGTTGTGATTAAGAAGAATATTGGTAAGTAATGTTATGTCTCTCATGGATACATGTTCGATAGTTTATGCTATATGTGGCTCTATTTGTATGACGACACATCTATATGGATCTTATTTAACCATCATATATTTCAATTATCGTGTTTGACTATTACGTCATGTGAATTATAAAATACAGTGCGATTTGCAGGTTTTAAAGTTCATGAAATGTGTTCTGTGTTGTAGATCCTTCGAACAATCAAATTGAGGAAGAGGTCTCCAAAGAAATTGGAATAATGCAGTATATATCAAATCATAATAATATTGTAAAATTAATTGGATGCTGCACAGACAAAGGTAAGTGGGCGACACATCATTGCGTCAGAGAAATAAATAAGGTGAATCACCGTAATTGTTTATTAATATCTTGTTCATACACAGTTCCTAAATATATAATAATGGAGTTACAGTCGTCAGATCTGAAATGCTATCTTCATTCTAAACGTAACGAGTCTGGATTAAAGGATATTAATCAAAGCATTCTGTTATCGTTTATGATTGACATTGCAAATGGAATGGAACATCTCTCTAAGTTAAAGGTTGGTTTCAAATACTATTTATATTTCCAAGTTCATTACATGCTATGTATATTTACAATATTGTACACATGCCGTATCCGGAAATGATGATTGCGTGTTGTTTAAAATACGTTTCTCATTTATTCTTATTCCAGATTATTCACAGATATTTGACCACTGAGCATATCTTATTGAATAGCCATAGACAATGTAAAATATCCAATTTTAGCTATGCTAGTGACGTCATCGATGACCTACGTTTCTTTGAAAAAACTCAGGTATATAAATATTCTACTATATGTTTTACATTTGTCCATTAGCTACGTCTAATCCTAGGTGATCGATGTTGTAGAAACAGACGTAATACCATATACGAAAGAATTAAATAAGTATAGCTAAGTTTGTTCCTATTTAATTGCTTAAAATGACTTCATGTCATCAATATATACCTTTAATGGACAGGATTCACCATTAATGAGACATCATGCATTGTTTTCTAGAACAACTATCCATATCAATGGATGTCTGCAGAAACATTGTTGAACAGAAGATTTACACTGAAGAGTGATATTTGGTCTTTTGGTGTCGTCATGTGGGAAATTGTGAATCTTGGTAAATATATGTACTGATTTACATAATATTTTTTATATTTATACTGCGACAAGTCAAGTGGGAGAAATCGTGTATGACAATCTCATATCCACCTGTGTTGTTCTATTTAACAACAGGTGCGGTTCCATACCAAAGAGCGTCTGAGCAAGAAGTGACAAGCATGGTACGAGAAGGAAATCGAATGCCCAAACCAGCAAATTGCGGAAATCATATGTAATTATAATTTCTGATTCTTTAAATGCTTTCAATACAGTAAATATTCCACCAATGGAAACTGTGCCTTTACACTGTGCCAATACATATATCCCTTTAGATTCCAATTACTGACCTCGTGTTGGAGACGTCATCCAATAGACCGACCATCTTTTACTCAACTAAGAAAATCTATTAGCCAGATAATTCAAGACAAAAACGTAAGTAAACTGATTATGAATATGTTCGTAGTTATGAAACAATTCGTGACATCAGTACAATACCTGTTGATTGACACATGTTTATTATTTTGGTTACTTACAGGTTCAAATCAACGTCCAACTACTTGAGTCGCCGTATGCAAATGTTTGAATACGAAATAGAGTTATGGCTACGAAAGCATCATGTTTGAATGTACTTGAATTTAATATGTAACGAGTACTTCATCGTGGCGTAGTTATATGTTTTTATCAATATTTGTGTAATTAATCTTATATAGAACATTTTTTTGTCATAAATATTTGTGATATTTATAATAGTATATCTTCATCTGTCCAATCTTTTTCATATATAGTACGGAGTTTTCTAGACGTGACTTATAACCCGCATACAAAATATGACCTTGCTAGAGCATTAACAAATAACCGAGAAAAGTAAAATTTTAATCAAATATAAAGTCGATGATCATAACCTTGCTTAATATCTTACCAAATCGCACTGTTTTTAAGCGAAGTTTGTATGTTAAATCAGTGTTGAGTAACACTTTGTTGATTTATTCATATTTGTATTTTTGTTAAACATTGTAACTATGATTCACTTTGGTTTATACTTGGGATTGTAATCTGTCCTGTTAGTTAACTACTTGTGTTATTTTGTAAGTATGAAAAATCATCATCTCGTAGAATGAGTTTTGATCTCGAACCTCACAAATATAATTATACTGCAAATAATGTATTGATTTTACCGTAAATGTGAATTTCTAAACATATTTGTATATAAAATGAGTTGTCTTGTCCCTGATATGCATTAAACTGTTGTGAGTATTTGATGTATATTTTAGCCCTTCTCGGTCGTAACTGATCGATAATACCACGTGACTATGTAATTGTAAGTATGTTAACATGCATATATATTGTAGTTGCCTTGTTTATCTTAACTTAAATGAAACACCTAATTTGTACTAATTTATTTTAAATCGTATGTTTATGTACCATTTCTTATTATTGCTATGCTTTACTAATTGAAGTGTTGAAGTTTTTGTCGATTTATGAACAATTTCACATAATCAAACGTGATTTTATATTGGACGACCATACGAGATTATAGCATATCCGTTGGCTTTGATCGAAGTTCGTCAAAATAGCCACACAACTTTGAATTCTGCACTAATTTGAATGCACGGTAAAAAGTCAATGAACACATTTTATTCTCGGAATGCAGCAGTAGAATGTTGTCTATATAGTGAGTAAATACATTGTAGTGATATCGATTTGTCATTATCGACTTTTCATTTCTAGTCTCACGCTTAAATGAGCCATTTTTTGTCACTGTTCCCGCTCTGCTAAGTGTTTAATAAAGATAACAGTGATCGATGATAGTGTCTGTTGTTTATATACATATATATTAAGCTTCTATTTGCGATGGCATGTGTTGTTGCATGTTTGTATTACACAAGTCTCTGGGAGAAACCACATGTCTTCTGTGTGGATAGAATTATTATTACCTGCGACACCATGACAATGATCACTTGATTAATTATGTATAAATATTATCTGTGTCACAATGCTCATTTTGTTGCGTCAACGCACTGATCGGGGTGACATAAACATAAAACAGACATTATGTGATTTCAAACCAAACTTGTCTTACTTTAAGCTATGCATCTGCAACAAGTGTCGCCCATGAAACAGATCATATGGAGTGAGTTTATAATGAGATATTGCTTTATATTTTGTATAAAACAAAAACGCTCTAGATATTTATACATATAACAATGCTTTCATATGTGCTAAACCTGTTCTAATCAACTTATACACGCATTTGTCTGACTTAATACTTCATAGCTTCCGGTTTTACAGTGTATTAATTGAACAAGGCGTGGATAGTGAACGTAATATTCCGTCTAAATATTTTTTCACATAACACATTAGTAATTGTGGCATTATGCACTTAATTGTTTGCTCAATTAAAATAAATTATATCAGTGAGAAATATCAGCTAATGATATTTATTTGGATGGGTTCTAAAAAAATTAGTAGTTTTGTTCGGAAAATAGTGACTACAATTTTGTAAACACATAAGAACCAGTTCACTACTGTGAAATAAAACAAATAAGCTAGGTTTATATAATGTATTACTAATAGTAGAATATGTTGCAAGTTTTAAATAAAAGTTCATTCTTGTACATTAGAAAATCATATTTTTTTGTAAATTCACTGATTTTGTCTTTGTGACCCAAATCAAAAGGGAAGTAATAAATGTGTTTATTACCCCGTGGTTTGACCATAAATTGAGGATGTTGATCAGTGAAGTACGTATAAATATGTCAAGACTGAAACTAAGAAGCTTTTGAGAGTATAGGTTGCAAGATTTCAAACCTAATTTGCAACAAATCATTGTGTTCCAATGAGCGAGTGTATTACATTTATGAGTGTTGCCGCCAT